TCAAAACCATGTGATGTTTTCACTGTGGTAAACGGTGATAATTAGTAATGCCTAATTTGCTCTTTATTCACCCTGCTGCAAGCTGTGAGAGCAGAGTCTGTCTGCAGGTCACCTGAGGACATGTTCATTCACACAACACCGGTGTTGTGGTAAAACTGGATTCTGCTCTCCATCGCTGCATTTTTCATTTTTAGTATTTTAACTAAAGTGCTTTCAAAAGTAGTACTTAATTATGAGAAAGAAAGAACAAACTTTGATACACATTGATATTGGTTTATTTTTGTTTCAATGAAATCTCAGTACTTTGGGTTTTTTTTTTACTAAGCCTAACATCTGCAAAGAAAAATACCATATACATGTGAAAAGGCCTGTCCTGATATTGTCATACCAATTAATCGCTTTCTGGACAATAAATTGTCCAGCAATTTATTGCGATAATTGATAGTTTTGGTGTTTTGAGGCCTTTCTAAACTGATCTAATGATTGCAGCATAATGATGCAAGTTCGCCCTCTCAAACTCCATTAAACTTTCATTTTATAAAGAACTCGACACATTGGAAATAGGGGATATTTTAAGTACCCAAAATGAAACATTTACAACCAAAACCATAAATATAATGAACTGTGATGTCTCTGTAAATAAAATATTACTCATCGGACTGGAAATGATCAAACTCAGTTTAATTGTGATTATTGACTAGTTGATTATTTTGGTAGGCTTACGCCTAACAGACATTTATTTAAGAATTGCTTCAAAATCTTAAGTTTTCAAACATCTCCTCAGTCTTAGCTGGGAGTTTTGTAACTCAGACTTTAGATGGGTTTCTTTCCACAAGCTTATTGTAATAATTTGCCCAAATCCTGGAACATTCCTCTGACAGACTTGAGAGTCTCTCTGTTTCAGATCGAAACATTATTTCTCTAATCGCTCTGAGAAAAGTCACAAATTAAAAAGTCTGCTCTGTTCTGTTTTAAATGGGCCCCAGCAAGAGACCAAATGAGTTCTGTTTGTGTTTGGGGAAGGAACAGGCTGAGATAGAGAATTACCCAGCATGCCATTCACTAAAGAACTGCCACTGTTTTGAAGGCAGAGTAGTTTAAAAGGCCTCATGCGTTTGTGAAATCTTCATTAGTTGGGTGTAAAACCATGAACAGACAGCACTATTTTGATCTGTGGCAAAAGTTCATGGTGTTAGCAGGATAATCCATTGCTGACAAATTACACAATTACCAGCAAGGTATCAACAAGAAGGCGATGTTCTTATTAAACTGTTCTGGTTTAACAAGTAGGAGCAGCAGTGCAGCTCTCCAAAGACTGTGTAAGCTTCTGGTTTTATTTGGAGGAAACAGACTTAACGTCTGGCGAGAGGCGCTAATTGCTTTCACTAGCGTGTTTGTTGCTGTTGATGTATTTTCAGATTCAAACTGGCCTGACGTGACCCAATTCAATTTTTATTATTATTTTTGTGGGGGTTAATGCGACCTGCACCGGATCTTTTTGTGGCAGTCTGAGCAATACAGTTCTGAGTTTCTTTCGAATGCGACCCAGCCCACTTGCATTCTTCGTACCTGAATGCCATTGATGCTCCATAAACGTCAGTATTTTGTTTCCTCATACGCGCAAGCTGGAAGAAAAACAACAATCATGGCGGACTCTTCTCAGATTCCTACCTGCAGCTGACAATTCTCCTGCCACTTTTCAAACAACATGTTCTCCAAAATGATTTTGATTGTCCAAAATGCAACAATCATTGCATGTTTTCCTAACATTTTTAGCGTCATACTGGTTTCTTTTTGAAATTGTTTCACATTATCATTCTTTAGTGTGTGAAAACGTCAAAAATGCGACACGTCGTCTTTATTAACTCTCTCAAAACTGAACTCATGGATGAACTGTGAGAGTCTAGAGCACACTTCTAGCAGTGACACACACAGGTTGAGTCTTTTATCGAGCTCAGCTGACATTTGGAGCATTCAAAAGTAGAAAACAACAGATAAAAACTCCCAAAGCAATTAAGCCTGAATTTGTCTCTGTGTGTGTAAGCAGCTTATAGCAAATTAGATTTGGCTGCAGTTGCTTTCCTCTAATAGACGCAGTACTGTAGCAGTAAATAAGGAACACAGAGGTTGTATTGTAAAAGCAGATCTACCTCCATGGAGTTCAAACTACGTGAATACCAGGAGTCTTGTTCAAAATGGGTCCTCAAAGAAATAAAACGGTCCTTACTGAGCCATACATTCTGCAAACCAGGTAGGAACATTCAATCAAATAACTTTTCAAACAAACTTTGTCCTTGTTTTGCTAGATTCAGAATATTTTTCATCAGTTTTGAACTACAAGGTGCACTCAGACCAGCACTGCTTTTTTTTTTTTTGCCTTAATTGAACTCAAAAAATCTTGAAAATTCGCTTAATTCGAGGAAATAAACTTCATTCTGATGCAGACCAGAAAAATGAGCGTTGGTCCGCATAAAGGCCCTGGTTTTGGGCCGGTTGAAGTTAATTCTGATGTATGTAAAGGCCAAGCGCACCAAAAACAGGAAGTGGACTGCAGCGCAGGGAATTCTGGGTAAATGCATCCAATATAAACACACAATTCTGTTGCTGACAGAAGAAGTGTCTGGTGGGTTGTTGTTGTTTTTTTCACCAACGACAAAAAAAGAAATCATAGAACACGCTGGTCTACCTCTGCACAACCTGCACACAATGTAATAATATATAATGCGGCACAAAGTATTACAAAATGTGTTTAAGGGTTTCATGAAATTCTGCATAATGTGGTGTTAATGAGGTTTTCTTGCATGTTGAAGACAGATTTTATTACATTTTTACACATGATGTCATATGGTCTGAGATCAAGGTTTTCATCTAGAGTCAAGTCTTTGTTTCCAAGTCTCCAACTCTGCAAACCAGACCTGAACGTAACCTAAATTCCCTTTCTGTTTGTTTCGACAGCTCACTTCGAACATTAGTAGGTTGCCTTCACCACGTTCAAATGTCTAATTGAATTCGTTTGCTGCCTTGGGATTGGTTGATTCAGTATTTCTTCCCCACGCGTCTTCTTGACCTTTCTGAATGACCAAACTGAAATGACAGTGGCTTAAGCTGAGTTTATGTGTCCAGCCATGAATTGGTGGTCTGTGGGCATTCAGGGGGAAAGGATCACCCTGAGTTCTGCACTCTTCCCACTGAATATGTTTGTAAATATCAAGAAGTGTTAGAAATATCCTCGTGAAAAATTTCGCACCATGACGGCCGCTGTGATATACGCCTTTTCATCGTCCTTCCTCTAAGCTGTGAGCTCTTCCTCAGCTATATCCCTGTCCTACCTCTCCTCTTCCTCCGCACACAACTCTAGTTTAATAATAAGAGCATAAGCAGAGGATATTGGTGACATTTTTGTTGGAAATTTGGATATGACTGTCTAGCACAAAAAAACAAGACTGGCTGGTACATTTCGGGGTCGTTTATGATTATTGAAATTGTTCCAAGTGTGCCAGCTAATAAATACCATGCTTTTATCACAGCATGTTTGCTGAAGTCTTCTCGCACTTAACGAGGGTGCAAATGATGTCTTTCTAGCTCCACTGCCGTTTCGCTCTCATTAATTATTTGTAACGGGATTGCATCAGTGGATGAGCTATCACAGTAAGACATGGCTTTAAATGTTCCTTGTGAGAACGGGGTTGACGGCTAACGGATAAACCAGAGCAGCATAGCTGTTCAACATCCAGTCTCCATGTCGTCTGCTGAAGTCTCAAGTAGCAGCCTGTGGACAGAAAGCGCAGCATCTTTTTTAAACTGCTGCTTTACAGTTCTGGGCTTGATCTCTGAAAGGTTGTCAGAACATCAAGGTAAAAGTTAAAGAAACACCGAACGATGCTACACTGGGGAGGAGAGAGTAGCAGAGCTGTAGAAGAAGCAGTGGTCATGAACAAATCTTATTTTGCAATCATATTTAAGAAGTGATTGCATAAACTGACCTAATTCAACAGTGGTCCAGCCAATAGGTGCCGCCTTTCCAGATGATTTACGGGAAATTATGCATTCAGTGTTTCTCAAGACACCCAGTTTCGAAAGGTTCCATCCACTGGTTCACCAGTATCCGTGGCTGCCATGACCATTAGATATTTAAAACAACAAAAAAAAAAAACAATTTAAGGTCCTGAAGATCCCCTGGAGTTCAGTTCAATCCATCTAGGAAAAATCTACCCAACTCAGGCGCTAAAGGAGTCATCAGCTGAGAAGGAGAAACTCTGTGGATGATGTCATGGTTCTTCACCAGGCGAAGCTTTGTGGGAAATACTTTGGTCAACAAAGTTTTTGTAAAATGGCAAACTGAACTCGGGCTGATTCTGTCTGCACGTTTTCTTTGATTTGCTGGTGTGGAAAACAAGACGATCTCAAATCTCGAAATGTAAAATAGTTTTTCTGCATATTTTTATGGTATGGTTATGAAACTGATAGACAGCCAGAATCAGGTGGTTACTTATTAGGGTAATCATCTCAAAGAACGAGAAGGGAAGTGATGTTATTAGAAAACTTTTTACAACAAAATCAAAATCAAAACTTTCTTTCCATGACTATTGATCCTCATATTTCATAAAAAAAACAAAGTAGTCTGCTACTTTGGATAGAAGTGACATCAGGCACCACATGAGGACACATTGTCCAGGGACAAAAAGAGCAGGAGTCCTTCTGGGAAGCGACTCATGGATGAATAATTATGCCTTAAGGAGCTAATTGTAACTGTAATGAAGTGAATGCTTTACACCACTGAACTCCCTCTTCCCTGAACTTAAAATACAAAACTCACTCCAGTGTGCAGTTTGGATCCCAGCCGGTCCATGGCTACAAAACAGGTCAGCTCGACCCAATTCTGAGCCCTTAGATAACACTCAGCGAGTTCAGCTTTTAGGGGCATAGAGTTCACTCTTGCTGGATACCAGCGTATGAATTACTAACAGATTGATTTGTCTCCATCCCTTTCCATCATGCAGCTCTCCGCCCGACTTGCCGTGTTCCCGTCCCACAGTTCTCGTTCACGGATTCCTCTGGTTGGCTGTTGAGAAGGCTGCCGGCGAATGCTGAGCAGGTCGACCTGTCTGAGGTACGCCTCCCGGCTCTACGATTGGTCGCTGGATGCTACTGGAGTTGAACGGCAACGATGTTCGACAAGCAGGAGAGCAATTCTTCAGAGAGTGATGAGAAAGGGTAAGGCGGGTTGTTTGAGAGATTAGAGTGCATTGAACTGCTGAGTAGTTGACAAAATACATCATCTGATATCTTTAGGTAATTCAGAAATGAACTAGGTCCTTCACTCCCTTTGGTAGAAAATTACCTAGTTTCAGTAGTTAGCATAAAGAAATAGACTTTTTAACTGCAAACTAGTGCCTGAGGTTTTTCATACCATTTAAATCTGAACAAATTATAGAGAAGTTTCTTTGACCTGCTTGTAAGCTCTATATAAAGATATTCTCAATATGGAGAACATGTAAGACGAGGTGTTTTTTAAGGCGGGATCAAAATTAATTTATTTTTTCAAAACTTCAGTGTTTTGGTTTTTTTTGTTTTTTTTGCGTCACACGAGTCACATGATCAACAACTGGATGTAGCCACTGATGCAAACCATGAAGAAAACGAAGTAGTATGAGGATAATGGAGCGGCACGTTTATTAATGACAACTCGTAAACAAATTTATCCACCTCTGATTTTAATTGTGTTTCTCATTTACTGGAAATAAATTTGTTGTTGTTGTTTTGTTTTGTTTTTTTACAGTAGAAGATTATAGACAAAGTTTAACATATTTGTAATGGAAATGCAGCTACGGTGGGCCACTACTTCACTATCAAGGTCACCACAGCTGAATAATTTTGTCTGAGCTTTGAACTTGACCTTTTCCCCCAGGGTAAATGTTGCGATTAAGCATATCCATAAATACTTTTTGAAGTTTATTTCAAGAAAGTAGGACATCTACAAGCAGTTCCACTGTGGTTGAGTTGGTTGGGTTGGTTGGAAACCGGTTTCTTATGTTTGTTGTCTTTGATGGTCACCGCTTCCAGATAGTTAGCAGAATGGGCTTCTTTATCCAACGTCTTCCATCATGGAAAGCAAACTGTCTCCCCATGTGAGACAATGATCTGTTCCCACAGGCTCTGAAGACTTCAGAGCTGCTCAGAGCTGCTTGGTGTTACTGAGTATCTTTCTTCAGACAGAGTCCTGGAACAGTCCTGTTCCTCTGACTGTATATCGTGCTAGCTACATGTTCACACTGGCATATTTACTGCTTTTGTTTGTTTGATCTTTGCTTTTATATATGTTATATATATTTTTTAAACTGTAAAATAACTAAACCAAATTCAATGTTATAGCTTTTACATCCAGATTTGATGCAGAGAAAAAAAGCTGTGACATTCCACAATTGCAAAAATATTTTCTAATTATTTCATTCTCAATTATTTTAATAGCTGTGCATGGCGAGGTCCGTATTTTTTTGTCTGTTTGTTTGTTTTTGTTTTTTTCTCCAACTGGTTCCTGGCTTTCTGCTTCTGTTTTTCTTTTTTTCCTTGCTTTTACAAAACAAAAGCTCTGCATGTCGGCTTTCAGATGTGTACATGTAGAAGTTTGTGCCTTGTGTGTGCGTGTGTGTTTGTGTGTGTGTGGGTGTGTGTGTGGGCGTGTGCGTGTGTGTTGGGGTGTGTGTGCGTGTGTGTGTGTGTGTGTGTGAGGTTGCGCGCGTGCGTGTTTGTGTGTGAGTGTGCGCGTGTGTGTGTGCGTGCGTGCATGCGTGCGTGTGTGCGTGTGTGTGTGTGTGTGTGTGAGGATTAGCGGAGCGGGAAGAGAGCTGGATTAGGACCACGGGAGGCAGATGGAGCCACAGAAAGCAGACGACAACTCAGGGTCTGACATCAACAGGGGATTTCACTGTCGCTGTGCGTTTGTGCGCATGTGTGTTTCCCACATAGTGTCACTTAACATGCACGTGTCCTGCTGAAATCTGCCTCATGCTCCGACCCCTCCCTTTCTGTGAATACCTCCGTTTTTTTGTGTGTTTTTTTTTCTTTTCAGAGTACACTGCTCTCTTGGTACACACTCACACGCGTACCCATGTGTAACTCGACATAGCCTGCAGTAAGGGTGCTGAAATAGAATTTGTTGTGTCACATTCGCTGCAGTACAAGGCGTCTGAATATTTCAGGAGTTAGTCGGCTTTCAGCAACGCTCCGTAGTTCAGATCCAACCGGAAAGGATTCGGAAATGTGTTCATCTGTTTGTTTATTCGTCTATTTCATCCAATTACAGCTTAAAATGAACATGGAACACGCTGAGATAAACAAGAGCGTTGGAGAGAAGTCTGCCCCTTCTCTGAACTGAGGAAGACTGCAACTAAACATCAATCGCCCATCCATGTAGATACATCTTTAAACACAAAAGAGGCAGTGTTGTAATAATAAAAAAAATAAGAAACAATTGCATATTTCATATTCGTTTTAATTCAGCCTTCTACTGACTCGATATACTTCATTACACCTTGATATAATAAAATATTTTATCTAGAGCTGGAGTTTTGATTCTGCGCCTGATATTGCAGATGAAAGGATTAAATATATTTATAAAGGTAAAATACTAATCAGGACTGTGTTGGCTCGTTTCTACCAGGAAAACGGTAGAAACTTAATACACTCCGAATCAATGACTAAAACCAAACTTCCTTTTTTTTCTCATTTCAATCTACACATGGCTGGTTCGAGTCGAAACACTAACATTAGAAAACTTTGTTAATCTTTGATTAAACTCATACTGTAAGTGCAGGCTTCCTGGGGCTTCTGAATTATGAATGTGTTATGTAGCAGATGAAAGTTTAACTCTGGGTTCTGATGTTCTGCTGCAGCCCTGCTGAAATGGGGCCGGGGCTGTAAAATCATAATTCAAGAGAAGATTACCAGAGCTCATTTGCGCAGTGGAGACCCTCAGGTCAGTCACGGCCGGCCCTCTGTCCTGTAAGAGCTGCTGTTCCGCCTGATCCCACAACAAGTAATGATGGCTTGTTAAGCAAAACGAGCCAAAAAAATGTTGCGAGTAGCTAAAGTTAGGGTAAATAAAATATTTTTGAATATTGGTTCCAATGAATGGGCCTAGACTATGGGCAATGAGCCTATCTTGATCACTAATCCATGTAGTTTGGTGTTTTTGCCACCATGATTCTTATGCAATTTGGTCATTCATCCACATGTAGCCTCCATTTAGTTTTACTAAAAACAAAAACTCTGACCAAAGTGGAGATTTAAGAATTCTCCTTGTTGGCGTGGGGACTTTGAAAGTCGAGACTTTGATGTCGCTGCATTACAGCCTGCGACAAATAATGCAGCATTGGCGTCACATATGTGACGATTGTTACTGTTCGGCCCTTCGGTGGAGGAAAGATGGCCGCTATCAGAGCGCTGCTGATTTGTACGTCGATTCAGACACTAGTCCTTCCGAGCCGTTTGCTGTGCAACACCGAGACCACAGTCGCAAAAATGTAGCATCAGGCCCATCATGTCCAAGTGGACATCTTCCAAGTGGCAGATGTCCACTTGGAATCCCAATCCAGTGCGTGCAGACCTTTAAATACGCCCGAGTACATGGGAGCCTTAAAGTTGTCAACATAAAACCACTAACTGATTTTCGCTACCTTCCTGTCACATGTTGCCATTTTTTACAGTGGAGATGGTGTTTAATGATAAGGGAAGCTGGTACCTATCACTTCTCCACAGCATTGTACTCCAAGTAGGTAAATTCTAAGGATGACCTCCTATAGGGGAATCGGAGTAAAGGAATATAAGCGCATGATGCTTTATTTGTAAGAAACAAATCTCATTGCAAGCTGTTTGTTTGTTTTCATTCTACTTCACAATTATGCTCTACTTTCCGTTGATCTGTCGCACACAATCCCACGTTGAAGCTTGATGTGTATAATGTGACAAAATGCTAAAAGGGTTTACATATTAGCGGTGTCACAATTAGTCAACCTCAAACGATGTTTAGCAAACATCCTGGGAAATCCCTCAAACTCAATCCCATCGCACTCACCATCACTTTTCACTTTTTTTCTGAAAACCAGAACACATGATAAAACAGTCGCCCTTGGCATGACCTTGCAAAAATAAAAAGGATGGATGGGATAATCTGTGAGAAACTAGAGGCAAACTGGGACTAGACCTCTGTGACAAAGAGAAATACAAAGAGGCATTTATTGCACAATGCAAATGCAGTATATCCAGTACGTTATCTTTCAATATCAACCCCAGGATGTTGCATTTCATTAGAGATGGAACCATGAGCAAAATTTGTCCTTATCATGGACAATGACCGACAAACCACATGAAGTCTGTGGAGAGGAGCAACACATTTTTAGCTGCGATTGTCACAAGAGTCATTGAACAACAACTACATGTATTAAGTGACTAACGGAGATTGGTCGCTCAGTCCTCGTCAGAAGATGACAAGTGGAATTGTGAAATTGTGAAACAAAGCAAAATAATACCACTTTTGATGACAGTACTCCTTTGTAGTTCATTATTCGATTATATGAATAATTTCAGTCCTCTTATTTGGGGCAAAACTAATAAGGTGGGGAGAGCTTAGAAATAAAATACATTGCGCAAACCGTAACTCCAAGTTTACCACACCTTTGTGAAATCAAGCTATCCAGTTAGGAAGTAATCCTGAATGTATTGTGCTTGAAACCAAAGACATATTTTTTGTTTGAGCACGCAACCTTTGCCAGTAAAGCTGATTCTGAATTGTTTTGGGGGTTTTTATTCGTTTGTCATAAAAATGTGTCTTTTAGGCTGAGCAGCAATGTTGGGTACGTTGGCTGTTCCCATGCCAACTAATTAAATCCTCTATTTGAGTGCCAAGCATTTTATTCTGCTATTGACTCTTGTTTGGTTTTGTTAATTGGATTGGCCGATTGAAGTCTGAAGAAAGAAGACGTGTTGGCAATTTAATGAGCTTCAGCTGTGTGTGAGGACATCATGTTGGTCACCTGCTTGTCAGTGGGATCGAATCCCAGACTTTGACCAGTTTGTTACAGGTCAGCCAATGGCATTGCACTGGGTTCGGCTTGAGCTGCCAGTACTGACCCAACAAAGCGCTCATTGGAGTTAAGGTCCAGCCATTCGGTTCCCAAGACCAGGAATATAGAACTGTCTCTATTTTACAAAATCTC